CAAAAAAAGAACCTATGAACTCAAACAGAAATCATTCAGAAACAATAATACCAATAATGATAATAAAAAACAAAAATAGCACTACTAATTAATGACAATACAACGTATGAGATGCAATGATATTCGAGAAAAGAACATGAGAACGTGAAACGTTTTAAAATAATCATTAAAGTTCAGTAATATCACTGCTGAAATCGCTTCATAAATAAACGTCGTTCAGCGAATCGCTGTGTGATGTTGCATCGTATTTGTTGAAGATGAATATCAATGGTGAATTTGGACTGCTCACGTCGACTACTGCATTTGCGTTATCCCTCTTTATCTCCTCAAAGTGATCCAATTTTCGACTTCTCTTCTTACGAATCATCGTGATTTCTCGTTTCAAACCCATGAAACGTTCCTGAAGTGTTTAATTTGCATTCGTTGACGACGTGAGCAAGCGTTACCATCAGTAGCTAGTAATGATCATAAAGGAGATGATCGATTGACGACAATCAATTCCGAAAAAGTATTTAGCAATATCGAAACGGTACGATTTCACAACGTCAATTCAGTTTCAGAACAGAAAAGTTTGAAATGATTCATAACATAATCTAGTGAAGATGCTAGATTATGATATGAATCATTAGGGCGCTGTCTAGTCAAAAAATCTTATACAGATTTCAAAAATCTTGCATCGAGTATCAGCATCCAATTTATACCTACTGAATATCGTTTCTGGCTTTAGTCTGGCTCATATGATTCACTTGTACGAGCATAGCAAACCGTATCGAAGCAAGCAGATAAATTTCTCTTGGATCAGTGGTTCTCACAGGGGTGAAATTACTCACGCTGGATAATTTGGAGGTGTCAAGGGGTAATGGAGGGGGTCGGGAAATTAGTCTTTCGTGCAGTTGTTAGTTAAGATGGGAACTCAGGTAAGTAAATGCGCTTAAGTGATGGCAACACTCTTCATTCCCCTATTTTCTGAGTATCATTAGCTCCTAAGGGCCTGACAGGGTCTTCATTCGGTTTTACAGGGCTTTCATTCTTTTCCGAGCTGTTGCAATCGCTCTCACAACTTTTATCACCAAAAGTGTTCTCTTCTGCTCATTTCTCATTCATTCCATTGAATAATTAAAGTCAAATCCTCATTCTATCAAATACACTCTATAATTGATCATTTGATTGTCGAACGTTGTTGCGCAATAATATTCAACTGTTGTATTGTTGATTTCGGCTGTCAACACTGGTCAACGTATCCAGTAAATAGCATATGCTACAGAATATGAAATTGATTCGAACTCCTAAAAGAAATAAGACGGAATGAATGAGAAAAAGTCATCAGGAGAACGATATTCGCATGTAATAGCTATGCGAGTGAATACAACACGTCTGAAAAGAATACATCTAAATCGGTTTGAAGTGAGCGTGTCATAGAAAATAGCTTTTCGTGCAATTAAAAAACTAATTTCTTTCACGCCGCTGAGAAATTTCCGGACCGGTTTCGCGTTTGTTCCTGACGTTATACGTAGCAAATTGTTGTATCAGGGGGGAGGGGTAGTAATGGTGGCCTATCGGATCATTAAAACGGGTAATGGAGCACCCAAACGTGAGAACCACTGTCGTAAATGAATTTCTTAGAATGGAACCAGCTGACCTGCCTGACTCTAATGCACAACAGGATATTCAGATACTCGATACCAAGAATGCAAAAAAAGGCAAACTTTAAATTTATCCGAGTAACCGAAGAAACGCCTCAGTGCGAGTGCAAACTCTGAACGTAGCTGCGGTTGACACGAAACATAAATCGGTAGACGTAATGCTCCGGCTAACACAGTCAATAATGAGACCTATAATGTTGTGTCAGCATTACAAAACATTCGTTGAAGTAGAATTTCGTTGTTTTCATCGAAGTAAGCAATTGTTTCAGATAACAGTCCTAATGAAGAGATATTCTACTGACAAGATTTCATCAAAAACTATCAGATTTCACTGCTGTAGTACATTAGTTATGGACTGCCGGAATGATCCACTTCAGCCACGATTTTCCGCTTTTTGAGGTTTCAATATCCTCATCTATACAACTGTTTCATTGAGCGAGTCTTAGCGTCTCACGAGGCTAATGTAACATATTACCATTAAAACATGAGTGTAAATGCAACGAAAAAAATTCAGTCAGTCAGCACGCTTCAATGAATGGCCTGACTGTAGATCGTTCGGAACCAGGCGATTTCAGATGATTTTTCGAAAATGTTTGGGTAGATTTGGTTGGATAAACTAGATTCGTGGGCAGAGAAATGATCACATTTCAATGCAGAAATGCCAACTTACGACATCCACACTGTAAATGTAGAATGCAAAAAAACGTGTATGCAGGGAATCAATATCAATATATTCCCAAATTGTAACGATAACATTGAGCATATTAGATAGCAGATAGGTGAAGACGACAAATACAAGTGCTCTTGTAGCTGCTCGGACACGACTCTAAATTCACATTTGCTTAATTGTGCACCTCTTTGAGATGAAATTATGGTCAAAATAAGCTCCTCACGATTCCCGAAATAAACATCCAATTAATATAAGTCTAATATCCTGACAGGCCATATTGTATGTGCAGATATCGTTGTTTTTGAATTGCTCTCATAACGATCAAGAATGTTATGATTAGTAACCATTTATGCTGAATGTGATTCTATTGAAATCTCGAATAGGTGAAACGACAAAAACTTTCAAACGAATACAGTCGTCGTCATACCTTTCGTTGTGCTTCACTTAGTTTCTCCATATCCTGAGAGATGAAGTGATTCGTATGAAGGGTGATAGCCGTACGTGCATTCATGAATGCCAGTAAAGCGAACGGCAAAAGAATTGTGACCACATTTCGGAACCAAAGACGCCATAGCAAATTGTAGATGGGATCTTTGGCAAGCGCTGATAATTCCAGTGCATATTCAGCCATTGTATCAACACACTCTTCATGATATTTGATCTAAATGGCACACTCAAATATGCATTCTACTCATGTAAATAATTCCAGACTAGGAGCTTTCCTCTTCAGAACTGAATATGAAAGAGCCCAAACAGAAGAAGGAAAATAAACGTGTTCGAGTTTATCCTCATCTCGCAACTACACGGACTATTCGTTGATTGACTTAACCGCTTGTAGATCAAATGAACAAAACGATCACGAGAAGTAACAAGTTGAAAAGTATTTTCAGCGAATCTCACCGGAACATTTTGAAACAAACTGGAAACAAAGCGAATCATAGAAAAGAAACTCATAACTAATCAATTCAACCATTCTATTTTGAACTTTAAAAATTAGAGCTGAGACGGTCTATTGCACTTACAGATGAACGAAAGAATGCACCTGCAAGAGAATATTCACAACTTACACTGAATTCGAAAGCTAGCGTTGACTTGGTGACAATGCCCAAAATGACCGATGAAGTTGCGATTTGACGTCGATACCGATTAAGGCACTTCATTCGGTGCGGCATCACGGTCATACAGAATCGTTCGAAACTGGCCGATAGAATGAGAAATGATGAGGATGTCATCGCGATATGTGAAACGGTTATCATCGGGATCATGTATTGGAACCTGCAAAAGGAAATTGCATTTGTTGCGTGCGCGAATCAGTCAGTATGCTTTCACTTCAATGTTCAAATCAGGAGTAGCTCGGGGCGAAAGAAAAATCACCTGATATCCAATCAGGTGATCTCCTATTGTGATTAAATGAGTGAGCAAATTTCAGCTGAGTACCTCTGTATTTCGCTCACATAATAAGCGTCTTTTCTTCGGTCTAATCGAGATAATGCATTTGACAAAGGGAGTGTTATAATTATTCACTAGAAGTATTGCTTAAAGTATTGTTATAACTGAGAATTAATTAGAAATGTTTGGTAAATATGCATATGAGTTGGTTCATCATTTGAAATTCTAAAAATTTTTGATCGTTGGCTTCACATCTTATGATAATTTACAGCTTCAAATGAATTAATTGTTCGAAGGTAACGAACCATGCTCGAAGGAGAACAACGGATTGCATATAATCGACAAGGTGTGACAGTGACATTAACGGAATGTACGCTCCAGCGACGAGAACGTCAAAAAACGCCAGCAGAACCAAATACAACGAATTCGAGTTACGGTGATGTCGTCTGCAAGAAAACGTCTGGATGTGGATAAGTTCACGCAAAAAATCCCTATTGATATCCACAAACTTGCTTGAATTATCGGCGGCGAACAGTGGTAATTTGATCTATCGAAAAGTTATCTGATCCACTATAACGCTTTCGTCTGGCAAACAATACACGTCACCATTTTCGACTTCCTTAAGTTTCCAGACATAATATAGCTAAGTCTTTTAGACATTCGGTGTTCCCTCATCAAAACTGCGAAACAATAAGCTAATTGCCTAACAATAAGTAATTTGCCCAGTTGAAAAAACATTTGCAGCGCCTAGTCAAAACAAATTATAAACGAATGAATCTTCATTGTCTTCTCAACGTTCATCGCAGTATTTTTTTTTCATCCTTGAACTTGGTTTCGAATTTCTTTTCGCCACAACGTAAACATCCATATCCATATCAAAGCAAATTTAGATATGTGTTTTGCGAAGAATTTGTTCACTTTGTTTTTTCGTTTGATTGGCTGAATTGAGCACACACACAGCACTTCGTTAATGGAGAATAACACGACAATTTTGCTTTCCGTCATGTTATTATAGAGGCAAATTTGCAAGTTGAATCGATGCAGTTCTCTTATATTGAATTCCCTACGAAGTAATTCGTTGAAATTTCACTCTCATCTTAACTCATTAAGTAACACAATGAATGTCTCGTGCAACCAAATAAAGATCGAAATCCACTCGATAAAGGAGACAATGTGCATCCCACATACGAGCGATAATTGGCCGAATTTACATAAATTTTACATAAATTTCACTCATTAACCTCAAACTTCTCAGAAACGTCATCAAATTTGATTGCACAGTGCAGATCAAAGTGCTACTTTTAGGCCAAAGATCATGCGATTCGTAAGCAAAAAGCTGGAATAAGTTGAAAATTTCAGTGAAGGCTTCTTTCTATCACTGCTCTATTTTCATCACTTTCTTTATCGTGAGCAATCGCTTTTCCAGTTACCATTACAGAAATAAACTGTTTATCTGCAGGACTGTGAAGCACTCATGTTTCTGACTGTGACCATATCTACATGCCTCTATCAGCATCAGTCCAGCGCTAACATTTCCTTGAAAGGGACTGATCAAAATCAAACGAGTGTCATAAATGCTGCATAGCTTCAAACAAACATGCTGATGCATCAACATCCGAAAGTGATTAGCCGTTATTGTCACCGGAATCATTCGGTGTCTCATGCAAGAGCGATGCCTCTAATTAAGTATTCAAAGAAAATGTGTTGTTATTGAAATGGCATACTTGGTTACAAGAACGATGAACAGGAATAGATTCTCTACGATCGATATCGACGACACAGTCGTTCCGGTCACAGTCACCAACCAGAATCGCTCGACCAAAAATTCCTGTTGCGCATAAAAACACGGCTCCTCGTCACTTCCATTCATCTCGCATTTCCCACTTTTCCGTCGCCCCGTCGGCCAAAAGCCCAGTGAAAATATTCGCTGCTCTCTGAATCTGAAAATTTTCATTCACTTATTTTGAGGATCCTTCTCAATCGTCAACCTCGTCAGGTTATGTGAAAGCGACACGAAATCTGGAGGGGTGTCGAATACACCATTGCAAATATCTATCACTACACAAACTTATCATGAGAAATCATGTGACCCTTTTTGTGATCACTTCAACTCTATGCAGTTCTCATCGCAAAACACATAGTAAAGTGCGATTAGAGTTGACGATTCAGCATTATAGGTTTGGATCATAGTTTTGCTCGCTTGAGAATTTAACGATGAAACAATAGATAGGATAAGCAGATTTAGCTCATTGAACTGAACTGGAGCTTTCAAGGGTGGTCAGCTGATCACAGCAGCAACACCACACATATTTGGGAGCACACCATGAACAAAATGCGCTGATCGGGTCAGTGACTCAATAAAACTGAGCATCATACATCAAGTGATAAGCATGGAAGTGCTTTCGAATGATACGATCAATTCTGCAGGAAGTATGCAAGTTATATACGGTGTTATGAGCAAAATAATTGTTTCAAGTCGAAAGTCGCTAATGAGCAAACAACAAAAAATACACACATAAATGCCCATTTATATGATAATTTGAAAATTTCAAAAAAGTGTAGAAGTCTTTGGAACGATTAATGAAAGCCTGGGAATGATGCAGACGTTTTTCGACGATCATTTGATCATTAGCTGTTCTCGCCTCGGATCAAACATCGATGTGCCAGAATGGTGCATCAACTCAAGAAAGAGACACCAAATCGCATAAACGCCTTATGACATTTGATCCGATCGCCTCAGATCCGACCGTCTGTCGGTTAATTGCGAAACTCAGCGCTTAACTAGCTGCGCTTGTCTGGTTGTGTGAGACGTTCTTAAAAGCCCCATCAGAAATCTACTGATAGCTTCCGAATCTGCGACCGATTTGCTCGGAAACAATTGATGAATGGATATGCATGCATGCTTCACAACAGCATCAAATCTTACACTCTTTAATGTCAAGTGAGGATTAGTTGTCCGAATTTTGAGATACTTGAATATGGACCCAATAATCAGTTCGCAGAAACGATTATTGCTTCAAGTGAATTTGTACTGGACAATATCGGTTTGGACAGCAATCATATCGAGTTCTATCCGATGGCTGTCAATAAGATTTTCACAACTCCTTAAGAGAGCACTGGACGGATTGGATGCTAGAAATATCGCAACTTCGGCGCAACATATCGTAACACCAGGCATTCATTCAATCAACAGTATTCGAAACTGTTTCCAACACTTAAATGTTGACACATTTCCGAGAGATTCCACTTCATGATGTGTCTCACAGAGAAGATAGATAATCGAGAGATATCCATTTCAAATTCTCAGAGGATGATGAGAGATCAGATGACGAGTATGTTGGAATTGCTAACAAATTGACGCGTAACACAATTAGCCGTTATGGAATTCGAAGCAAAAGCAATTGAAATTGGTTCCGTGCAGATGTGTGGCCACTATAAATACCGTACATTCAAGCCACAACTGAAAAGAAACATCGGCAATCTGGGCGTTTCCGCAGCACTCTTCAGGGGCTCATGATGACAATTTACTAATCTTGTTGAGTTCAGAAAGAAGACGATGGAATTTTCTCAACAAAAAAAAACAATTTGTTGAATTGTTTGAAAGTCGTTCAGTTTGTTTATCGAGAGACGTATCGCTTTTTGCTAATGGTTTCTAAAATTACTTCATAGAAAGATTTGTGACTAAAAAGTTTCAGTATGCCATAGTCAATGAAAAAAACTTCACTAATCCTTTCCTAAGCAACAAGTTATCAGAGTTAATTCGTGCTACTAAACTTTCAGGGTTACATAAATAAGATTTGTTTATTTGCGAATTTCTTTCTCGGTCTATTTTTCATAGGCTCACGCCATGTATAAACTCTGAAGAATAATCATTGAAGAAGTCCATTCAAGCACTTTTAAGGCGAAAGGCGAAAAGGATCATCGTGATGTGAACTGTACATGGTTGTGGGTAATTTGAGTGAATTCATGAGTGCACATTGTCAGTAAATGATCTACGGGATGCTGAATAGACCTAATGGAAACACTAACGTAACAGAACCAAAACCCCACGAGAATCACTGAATTCCTTACATATACGCTGCTTTTCTTTCGATAAAATTTTGCAAACAGGCAAAAAGCACACGGATAAGTGTAAACACGTGCATGCATGAGGCAGAAGTGATAATTTGATGCTAATTGAAAATGAATTTAATCGAACGAATTGCTCAAAATAAAATGATACGCTAAAAAAATTGATGAATTTAAAAGTTCATGGTCAAAAAGAAATGAACGCATGACGTATATTGGTCATTCGTTCAGTGCCGAGCAGATTACGAGTGAACTTATTTCATCAGGCCTAGAGCTTACCATCAGCTGAATTTCAATGCATTTAATTGCGTTGTGCGTGGGAACGAACCGCGAAGAACGTCAGCACTGAACATGATTTGTTTCTCCAGAGGGTTTCTTCATTATCATGCATGAGCGCATACTTCATTTGCTCCTTCTGATAGATGCAGTTCAAACTTTACAGAGTAAGAAAGCTTTCCAGTGAGACATCTATAGTGAACAGGACTGGTGTTGGGATGATGTGAACAGAAGATGAGTTCGAAAGGCACATTTTCAAGCATCTGCTTCAAACACCACAACGTCTATCACTAAGCGCTTGACTAGAATTCTCAGAAAGTGAATCGCTCAAAAGTTTTTTATGGTGTTGTTGCCGAAAAATGATGTGAAATGACATATTTAAGTGGATTCATTATTCGTTTCCTGCGGTACGTTCTCTCATCACCGTATCGATCCCAAATGATCCACCACCAACAATTATGATAGGTTTTAGGTTTTAATAGGTTTTAATCGTGTCTGTCTTCGAAGCATTCCTCACGCCGAACTCAAATCGGGCACTTCATCGAATTCAATTTCATGATGAATTCAAATAAAATTTTTCGGAGTCAGTTGCTGACAGAAACAAACTTTTTGAAGACTGCAATGATGATACTGACGACTAAATTATTACTCGCCATCTACTCTCGCTTATTATCCACATTTGTTCAAGTGATCAAGTTATTTTCCAAAGTTACACTCCAAAGCCCAGAGAATACTTTTTCATATATTCGTGTGTATGCGAAAAGCTTTCAATAGAATTAATTAAGAGGATTGATTCACTCTGTGAAAAGTGATGACTGTGGCACTCTGCGGATTTCAATGGGCGCCAAGAATGAAGAACAATATTACTGCTGTTGTTGTTATTGCAGATGTTATTTTTGTCATCGCATTAGTGCCATACCCACAAATGAATGAGTCAATTACGTGTGAGTGACGAAGCTGCAGGAATAGCCACAATTACTATTATCAAGCCACTATTGTTCAGGCATAGCATTCCCTCAAAATCAGTCGATCACTTCTTGCGAATAACAAATATGAACAATTCATTCGTTTCGCGAAACGGAAGTGAATATGACTGTGAGAGTATTTTCGAGGAACCTAATCAGAAAGCCATGAAAATATGTCCCTAGTGGGATGGATGAATTATGAAATGCGCAAATAAGCACACACACACACACACATACAACGATAACTAGGAGGATCTTCCGCGTTTCGATATTCCATAGATGAAAATATTTATCAAGTGAAAATTTTGATTAAGTCGGATATTTAGACAGATGAATAAGTGAAACTGATGAGCCTCTTCAATAATAAGTTTTCTGCTCATTCCGATCCACTTCATTGACCATTCAACATTTTCACACGCCCGAAATGGCAGAGTAGATACTGCTCGAGCCAAATGATATGAATTCAAGCACGTGGTTGTTAGTGCCAGTGTGCAAAGATCTTTTACGTAGAACATTATCACTGGAATACCTATCGCGAATGCGACTAAAATCACACATGTACGAGTGCACTGGTGATGAAATGCGCCAATTCGACGGCTAATTCTTTTAGGATTAATGAGATATCAGTAACTCAAGATGAAATTTGAATTAACGGATCAGGACGGGTAGAAACACACCCACAAACGAAACTGGTATGAAAGACAAACGCTAAGATGAGAACATCAGAAATGAGAAATAAGAGTTAGTCATCATCAGGAGAGTAATGCTCAACATCAGACTAACGGAAAAATGAAATGTAACAGAGAATAAGTCGGCTTTTGAAAGAGACCTTCAAGAAAAAACGTCAGCTCTAAAAGGCTGCACACATTTTTCAAAAGCTTTAGTCTTAATGAAGAGACTAAATTCACCTTCAAAGATTAAAATCGTGCAGATCTAATCATGATGATGGTGATGAAGATAGTCTTCCAAAAAATGTTATTATGGGTATAACTCGGAGCCCGATAGGATTTGTCTTATCCCTCCATCGTAAATCCTATTCACCGCAAGCGAATGATACGTCCATTATTCAAGATAATGAGATGTGTTGATAGAATTTCCTGAATAAAATTCATTGATTTACATAATCCAATTGGTACAGCCTCTATAAGTTAGTTATTGGAATACGTCATCGATTCATCGAATGAAAACTCATTTTGATAATTACTCGTGCCGCTTGATAAATTGTGTCGAGCATCAATATGTTCTTCACGAACTTCAAAGTCTAATAACCTTTCAGCATGCATCTCAGTCCATTCGCAACATTCTTTTCTGTTCTTCACCTACAAAATGTCGAATGTGGTGAAAATTCCGTCTAAAATTTGTAGTAACAATGCATGAAAAAAGACATTCTGATTGAAAAAAGCAGACGGTTATTTTATGCGTGTGAAGAGTGCTCATTAATGAGCAATTTTAAGATTTCAGACAAAGTTCTCGCGCAGACTGTAGCCATATAGATGTGCTTATTTTCAAAGGAATAAAATACCATCTTATTCCATCCTCATAAATGCAATCGACAAACAGC